AAACCAAAAAAGAAACTAGACAAGTGGTGTTTTTCCTGTCAAGGCCTCCTTTCAAACACCATTCAGAAAGGGGTGCAAAATGTTGAACAAGGCACCGCTCAAAAACCGACTGATTCCCACTGAAAAGGTGATACTCCTTACCGAAATCCAAGATGGCCTGGCATTCAAGACGTGCATAGGGGCCGTGGTTTTCTACTTTAGCCTCCCGGCAGCTACTGCGGTTCCTATGTTGCCCCTTTAATCATCACCCCACCAATTCAATTTTACTTCAAATTGGCCCGAAAGGGGCAGCTTAAACCACCAAACGGGGCAAATATGCCAAATTATGCCAAAGCCTTTTACTACGCGCACTCAATTTTCTTGGCCCCTTCCCAACTTGAGGGGGTTATGGGCGGCCTTCCTTTCAATTTCTGAAAGCAAAGCTCATCCAAACCTGGCTTGACATGGCCAACGTCCGGGAACCAACAACCCTATTGTTGGCAGGCTAATGGCAACATGCAGTGTTTCAAGATGAATCAATGCAATTAATTTCTTTGGTCCAACTGGCAATGACTCGCTTTGCTAACACATTTCAGCACCATGGCCCCTGCACTACACATCAAGCCAGCTTGCCATTCAGAATGTTTCCCTACCGCATCTCAGCTACCATTCGCCCAGCATGGCCCAAAAGTGAAGCCCGCTTTCACTCCAGAAAATTGACCTGGAATTGCAAAAGTACACACACAGACATAAGGAAATTCCTTGATAAGTAGACATCCTCAAAAAACGTTTTCTGGGTTCCCTATATCTCCTCTAGAAACATCACCCTACCATAAGGAAACTCACTTTAAACTGGTGAAACAACTGATGAGTAGAAACCACAAGCAACAAAGATTTCGGGACCTCCGTTTGAGGCACCCTCATGCTTTCTGACTGCCAAGGCTCTCTCCTAGAGCAGATCTCAGCACCTTCGCCGTCCACTTGCAGCGAGCACATTGGAACTCGTCCTGGTTGGGCTGTGACATCCTCGAAAGCCCTCCTTCCAACAACCGTGGAAGTGGACTGGCGGGTTCCTCAAGGGGAAAGTAGTCCTTCCAACTTACATGACTATTTCGGGGAAACCACTTGGACAACCCAAAAACCGAACTGATCGTTGGACAAAGGGTTATCCCCAGTCCCATATGGCAAACCAACTGCAAAGGAGGCAGGATCCTTTCGTATCTTGTGGATTGCCTTTGAAGAGGGGACATGTGCAATGGACGCTTGTCTTGCCAACACTTTCCTGGTAGCTGCCATCATTGACAAAAGGTTTGGTCGCTGCAGCAAGCGACGCCTGCCAAATCCAGTCATCACTCAGGCACGTCACATTGGCCGTAAGTTAAAGTCCTTTTAGAGAGGTGCAAACCCACCTGAAGTCGGATGGAAGCGGATGGATTGCTTTTTGTCCTGGTGGTCCCGGGCAACATGAGCAATATCATGTCGAATATGAGCTCGCCGAGGTGCCGCAACAGCAAGTTGCGTGTGGCGTGCGAGTTCGAATAAACAAGCTCAAAGCAGGAAGGTTGAAAACCGAACCGGAAACCGGTTAACCGAACCGGTTTTCAAAACCGCAAGAAAACCGGAAAAAAACCACCGAACCGAACCGAACAGAAACCGAACCGTCCCCAGGTTTGCAGGGCAGCAAGCGTCAAAGCAACAAACCCGCATCATTGGCCGCTTCTGGTCCTGATTTTTGCTTCCGCAGTGCTCGCAACACACGAAACATCGCTGAAATTTGGCAAGCAGAAAAAAACGGCCCACGAGCGGTCAGTAACTTGTTTTTTTGGGCTGCTCGGCTTTGGCGCAGACAGCATCGCCAACAGCACCGCCACGGGATCCCGTTCCAAAGCGGCAGCAGGGAGATTTGAACTTGCAAACTTTGAGAGAACTGTTGGAATAGTTACATGTCCGAGCATCAACTTGTTTCACCAACCCCCCCTGCTCCCACAGGATTGCCCGAGCACCCTGTTGCAGCCTGGCTGCGCCAGCAGCGCGAAAAAATCAACAACAACTTACTGACGGTCAGTGGTTTTTTTTTTTGCGCAGCCCGGCTTGGATTGGAACAGTTTCTCGCGGGCCGAACGGGAGGAAAACTGAGTTGCCCGCTGTCACTGTAAGGGCTTGCTCTCCCGGCGCCTTGCCGCCTTGCCCTGGGCCTGCCCTGCCCTTTCCCCAACCCCCCACTAGCCTGATTGCCAGAACTCTTGGCACGCTTAGCAGGCCACTGCAGCTGAGGCCCCTTTGCTGCACGCGTCAAGGCAACAAACCCGCATTATTGGCCGCTTCTGGTTCTGATTTTTGCTTCCGCAGTGCTCGCAACACACGAAACACCGCTGAAATTTGGCAAGCAAAAAAAGTGACCCGCTTCCCAAGGCCACGTGCGCGGAACAACATGCTCAGCATCAGTCAGTGGCATGGTTCGTTTGTTTTTGTGTGTTTGGTTGTGTCTGTGTGTGTGTGTGGTGTGGGATGGCGATGTCAGATGGATGGCGATGCCAGAGATGTGGAAGTTGGCGAAGTGTGGGCGAAAGCAGACTGAGTTACCTAGAGCCTTATCTTACTTTTCTGCATTAACCGTGCAAACCGGCAGGTTTTGGCAGGATGTCGTCGTGGACGAAGATGACGTGACTTGGCAAATAGCAGCTGTCAGGTGGGCTTGTTTCCAGATCGGCTGGGTACAAACTATCAACCTGCAACAGGTGTTTTTTCGGATGTTCCTCGTTTTCGCAGTTTCAATTCTTTGACCTTGTGTCACATCCAGATGTGGGATCATTGCCTGGAAAACCAAGTTGCTGAAAAAATGGGGCACCAACGAAAGTTGCGAAAACATACACAACTGTTGAAATAGTGGTGTGTTTCTAATTCGCCGACTGGGCTAAGGCAGCTAGTCTAATTGCAATGACTCCTTTGTAGCAGTAACCAGAAAAAATGTCCTCATGTTGGACGATAGTTGCTTGCCCAGCAACTGTTCTGTTGTGTTTGCGAGCGCTGCAAATCGTGGTGTTACTAACCGGAGAAAGGTTTTCAAAAGGTTTCAGAAACCGAACCGAACCGAACCTAACCGTGGCCACCCTGTCAAAGGTGAAAACTATCTGCATAATATATATACGTGAATGGGCCTCATTCAATGAAACCCAACATGCAAACATCGCTTGCATCGCCTGTTCGAGCACTTCCACCATGACTTGAGGCTGGGCCTCTGTTCATGTTGCCTCCATCCTCGCAGCCAGCTAACCATGGCAGGTGATAGCAAAGCCAGAGCCACCCAGCCAGTCAGCCAGTCAGCCAGGCAAGCAAGTCGGGGTCACTTCAAAGACCCCACCGCCCCTTCTCTCATGAACAAGGCCTAAGGCTGGGCGTTGCCTGAGGTTGTACCAGAGGGGAGGGGACTTTCTACCTCTGTGGATTGATGATCTCTTACTCTCGGAACCCCCCCCCAATCAAAAAAAACACACACAAATCAAGCAAGGCTAGGGCAATCGGCACCCGCTCGCTCCTTCTCCAAGCCCTCAGCTTTCACCAACGGCTTGAACGCGGGCTTCTTGGCAACACCTAATGTCGGAGGAGCATTCAGGGTCGAGGTTTGAGGGAAAACACCGACCAAGAACAAGCGCTGGCAAATGAGGAGCTTTGAAAGCCATGATATCAAGAAGCAACAAACATAATTCACACCCTTGCTGACTGTTCTGCCAATTCAAGCCCGCCAAACATTTACAGCCCCAAAAGGAAGGGAGGCTGGTAGGCTTGAAGAACCCGAGCACGGCTGCATGCAACCAGTGGCGCACAGGAAGGCTAGTCCCAGCAGCCGCCACATGACTCCCAGCGCAGCACCGCAGCACCGATGTGCACGAGCGAAGCGTCAAATCAAAAGGCGCTTCTCGGGGTACCCCAGTTTCACACACACACACATGGGGCCGTGATGTTGAATTGGGTACTTTGTGGTGGCACAATTTCCCATGGAAAAGGGGAACTTCTCGAGACTTCCATCACCCACCAGTGGCCTATACTTGAAAACGCCGCATGGAGAAGTTGGCCCAACTGACCACTTGCGGTACTCACCCAAATCGAGTCCCTCCAAACTTTGAGGGTTGCCCGGAGGGTCACGTGCACTCTTCCCAAAGCGTATTCCGCAGAAGCTGAGTCCCGAGTCTAAGGGCTTGCGAACAGCCCACCTTGCAGAATGCCCGAGCATGGTAGTCATCCCTTCAACACTCTACACTATCTAATGGCTTGAAGGCGCACTACAGTGAGCCGAAGAACGCACCTTGCTCACCTCTCATAGGGTACGCATCTGGTGCTTTGCCAATCAAAGGCATCCAAGCGGCACCCTGTTACATCAAGCATAACTCGCCTTTGTCTGCGCCAGGGTGCAGGTTTCTTGCATGCTGTGAGCCAACGGCTTTGGGAGAAGGCTTGTCTCGAAGCAAGCGTAGGCAAGAAAGCTCCACCGCGGGAGCCGTTTAGACGTTGACACACTTCACACCGGACCTGAAATCAAGCGAGGCCTATAGGAATTGAGTTTGGGGGGACCCCCCCGAAGGATCTCGGCCGGGACCGAGCCCTGACTTGATACTCAGAACTCTGGCAGGCATCAAAATCTCCACAGGGGTGGTGCCCCTGTCCCATGGCCCTGATGAAATCTGGTCGGAGGGATGGGGAAGCTTCACTGTTTGCTTAAGGGCAAAGCTTGGATGCAACCAAAACAGGCTTGGAAAACAGTGCTCCTATCAAGTCAAGCTCCAAATATCTCCAGGATCCATCTGCAAATGAAGACTGGTTCTCACCTACAAGGATCTGAAACTAAACCTTTGGGGACATTGACAAAACCTGGGCGTGTCTAAATGTCTAAACATAGGGAAGCCCCACAACTTGCCGTTGAACCCCATGTTGTCCCTTGAAATCAGCCGCAAAGAGAGTGGCCGCAACAGACGTGAGACCCGCAGGCGAGGAACAAAGCAACGGGACGAGTCCGAGTACGGTGCTGTATCCACTGTACTTGTGAGTGCTGGACTGCCTGCGCTGGCCCAGTGGGAAACCCCTTGGACGCAAGGCCTAGCTGTTGCTTGTTGGCTTCTGTTAAATGAAATCCAGCATTCTCTGGGGAGTTTGCCAGAACTCACCAATCAATCCAAAATAATGAACACCCCCTGCAACATGTTCATGATGAGCTGCAACTGTGGCAAGGGGGAAGTAACGTCCACAAATTTGGCCAACATATCCAGCTGTGCCAGGGTTTGTTGCAAATGGCAAGCAGGTGACCAGGGGCCAACCAACAACAGTCTAGATGCAAAATCAGCCGGCTGACAAACCATCCCAACAATCGCATAGAAATAAATTCATCATGCTTCTCCCAACATCTTGCCAACCATGATTCACCAACGTAAACACGTCAGCCCCAACAACTGAAGCTCCATCATGGGTCAAGGGCTAACTCCCCACCTTTCAAAGAGCGCCAGCACCTGCTGCCACTGCCGCGACCTGAGAGGCATCGAAGCATAAGATTCGTTGCTTGGCTTGTGGGCCTGCAGCCTGGTTTTGGATTCTGTCTTGTTTCTTGGGGGCTCCTGCTTTCTGACCCCCGCCTGGTGTTGAACCCATGATGCGACAGTTAGAAGGCGGGCCACATAAGAAGGTTAGAGGTGCAAAATACGGAATTCATTGTTTGGGACGTGACCCGAAGGGCTCCAATGTTCAAGAGCTCGGCTTCATTGCGGCCGCCATGGTGTCGTTGAACATGACCTCAGGACAGTCCAACTGCAACCCGCACCAATTGCAGAATCCATAGCAAACGGCACAAATCTGACATCAAGGATCCCTTGGGCCATGAAGTTTTTCTTCATCACCCAAGCCTCGTATATCTAGTCTAACTCCTGATTTTATCGTTGCCTCCCTTGCAGCTAGCACGTGTCTTGAGACACGGCTCCCGCCCTCTTCGAGTTTGCGGAGGTCGACCCCCCACGAGGCACCAGCCAATCAAACACCGCCAGCGCTGACCCAAATGTCTCACTTCAAGATACGGGACATGAACCAGCTGCACTTTTGAGGTTGTAACTCAAAAGGCCCAAACCTGTTCGCGGCTGGAAAGACAGAAGGGACACTTGCAGACTTCCATGTCGTGGTGTTGAATTCGGGTCCAAGCCGCATTCGTGATACATAGCGATGCTGTCTACCCGCAGGCCTCTCTTTGGGTGATCGCCCCAGAACGACCGTCAGGGGCTTCCGTCCGTGGTTCTCGATCCCAGAAAATTTCCTGAATCAGGTCAGAAGAAGCAGGAAGAAAGTTAATATAGTTGGAATAGTTGGAGTTCACACGTTGCCTGCAATGCAATGGTTGCCCAAACATGCAGCATCATTGGTGTCTACCCAAGCATACACAAGCAATATCGCCTCCTAAGATGTCCCATCACCCACCGTTTAGCGTCGGGGATTTTAGCCTTGCTTGTGCCAAGAAAGAACAACTTAAGGCCCCCCTGCATGGGGAAGCCAAAAGGACCCTACCGGGCAAGGGAGGCACACGATTGCACAATGCAACGTGGCTAAGGCGCAAGCAGGCGAGAGGCGAGAGATCCAAAGGAAATGTGAGAAGGGGAGGCAAACAACACGAGCAAGAAGAGATAAGAGTGGGGGGAGAAACACCATGGAAACCATCGAATTGAAACGAGGAGAGCGATGGGAGAGGAAACATAGGGAGTTCAAGGTAATTAAATGCCATGTGGGACGAGAGCAGCATGAAGACAAGGGCAAGAAAAGCCAGGGAGAAGAAAACGAGCTGAGCAACACGCACTCACCCAGAAATTCGCCAATAAAGTTGGCTCACCTCAGCCCCAAAGTCCCGCTAGCGCAGCCCACAAGTTAACACGGAACTAAAAACAAGATGCCCCAAATGACGAACCCATTACTGGTGTTCAATTTCCATCTGGGGAGTCACTGACACGCACATTCCCTCTGGGGTCACCAAACGGTATCCGCCACAGGGCGCTCGTCAAAGAAGCTCCGCCTGCCGGAGACCCGCGGCTCAGGGGCTTGGGTAGATCCGTGCAGGAAGGAGAAGCCCAAGGCTTTCCACTTGGTTGCTGTTGACCCCTGCAAAAAGTTGATCACTTTTTGGGGGTTCAGTGGAAAACCCCTTAGTTCCCAAAAAGTTGAAGTTTAACGATCCAACCCGAAATTGCCAAAAACAAGGTCTACCCTCCCTCAGACTAACATGGAAGCTCGCAGAAGGCCTCTGTAAATGGAACCAAGGGTCCTGGAAACTTCCATGTTAGTCTGCGGGCGGGTAGCATGAGCTTCTGCTCGACCAGGGCAAAACGGGCACGCTCCCTGTTCGAAGCCATGGCAGGTTGGAGAAAACCAACTCTGGGCGCTCGGCGGCTCCTGGAGGGCGTCCTGGGGCATGTCACACAAAAGGATGAGACACGGGCTACAAAAAGACATCACACGGTTGGTCTCAGTTGCCCAGAGGACCCAGAAATGAAAGGTTTAGCCCTTTGGTGAGAAATTAGGGGCGCCCGTTTTTGGGACAAGTTGGGTCCCCCCAAACATCGTAAATAGGCTTTCCCCCCATGGAGCACGGTCCTTCAGGAGACTCAGGGTCACCTGCCACGCCAAGCCTCCGCGCGGAACCGGCCAGGCCGGGGGGAAGGACTGTAGATGCTCAAGCAAATGCCAGCGCGTATGACATGAGCTCCCACTCCAACATCCCACGTCAATATGGGGAAATGAAACTTCGGACACAAAAATCGGGATGGGGGGAGTATCCAACAAAAGCCCCCTCCAAGTCTGCAAGCGGCGCAGCGCATGGCTGCCGGCAAACGACGGCCTTGGCTGCAAGCAGCGATGAGAGCTCCGAAGGCCGCCGAGTCCGGCCTGTGCGTCCGAGCGGCGCCGCGCGCGCGGTAGGCCCTACACTCCTGCAAATCAACATGAGCTAGGTATACGAATTGGTGAGCGAGTGGGATGACGTGGTAGGTAGTATGAGGCGTAAGGCAGGGGTAGTCTACAAGGACTTTGCATAACCAATTATGGGTTTGCAGCCCGCCACCCCCCAAGCACGCATGGCTTTGGATGGATGGGGACTTCGGATTGGACAGAGACCGCTGAGGTTTGGCATTGGCCGCAAGTGGAGTACGGACACCTAAACCACATTGGTGCTTTTGTTGGGGAGTCTTCTGTTGAGGGGGGGGGCCTTTTTGGGTTCCATGCATAACCTGCAAGCGACTGATGCTTAGATCTTGGGCTTCTAGGGAAGGGAAAACAAGGTGATCAGTCATTGAACAGTCGTAGATAAACGGCTTGATCACACCCGACAATCCCAAATGCAAGGGTTATGTGGTCCGAACTCTGCTGTGGGGGTGGGTGCTGAGATTTAAGGTTGGTTGGTCCCAACAAACACTTTCTACCGTGCAATCAGCCACCTGCCAAACAAGGACCCTTGCCAAGCGCAAAACACAAACAAAAGAGATGGAAACCCGCAACACCATCGGTCGTGGAACTTACAATTCACATCCCTCCAGAGCGGCTGGACTGTGTGTGTATCAAGCCTCGCCCCGACGCTCTTCCCAGCCTGTCAACCATCTGGGGGAGGATTGCCAATGCCTGCCACGGTCCGTATGCGCGCGTGCGCGCATGCGTGTGTGCATGCGTGTAGTGCGTGCTTGGCTGGAACTGGGACCCCAGCAAAAACATGTATTTGTTGCCTGGTTAGTGGAAAACAAAGGGGACCCCAAAAAAGGCAAAAACATTGAGAACTAATTTTGGGGAAGTGTGTGTGTGTGACGTGGACCCGGAAAGGCCCTCTCCGCTTGGCAAGGGGTGGGCGTCTGAAATTACAAATTTGTCTTCAAGATTTACTCGGGGGAATCAGGAAACATGGATCTTGTCTTAGCCGCAAGTCTTAGCCAGGAAGTGGGGGCTGGAGACGGGGTGCGAGCAACTGTCCTGCTACGCAGCCCAAAAGCCCGTCACATCCCTTGCTGGCCAAAGCCCACAGCCAAGAACAATGCTCGTGAGAGGGCGCACGCTTCAGGCTTCATGCCAGGCAGGAGCGTGGAACATGGACCATTCAAATAATAATATTGTGATGCTCTCTGGTCGGCATGACCCACGAAGACCCCATTGTGCTGACTGCCAGAGAACACCCGTCTCGGCTTGTCCATTGCCAATCACGGTCACGGTGCGTGAAACACAAGCCAGCCGCCAAGTGACAATCAAACCCGGTATCAAAATGGTCTACCCAGAAAATAAAAGAGTTAAGAAGGCGGGCCGCAGCTATTTATGGCCGGGATTGTCCCCTACTTATCTTCATCTACCCGGGTTTTGACCGTGGCTCAAGTGGGTTGAGCCCTTTTCTCGCAGAGGAAAACGGTGCGAGGCGGCACCTCCTGCCAGCGGCGCTTCTTCCTGAAGCGTGGCAAGCCACAAGTGATGGCAGGCAAACTAAATCATCCGACGCAGCCACACACACACAAACACAGGAACACACACACAAACATACGTACATTAGACACACACGCGCACGCACAGGAACACACACGGGAACACACAAACAAACATACCTACTAGACACACATACACATCAAATACACATCACCCATCACACACTTCAACACAACAAATACACCTCACCCATCACACAAACGGTGAATTCAATTTAGCACATTCTAAAATGGTCCCGGCCTCCAACCGTAAGTTGCCGTAAGTGAAAGGCGCAAGCAAACAGCCCATTGCGCTTCGGAATCTGCTGGTTCTCGATTTCATCTAGGCTTGTCCCCAAACCGCTACAAATGGATAATGGATGTTTAGGCCAACTACCACTAAAACAAGGTGACTGCATGTGACTGCGACTTTCTGGCAGCTAGTAGGAGCCTTCCTCACAAGCCTCTTATCTACCTTTCCGCGGGGTACCCTTCCGAAAGGGCACCTGAACTTTCCAGCCAAGACACAGGCCCGGCCTGCAGGCAAAAACACACAATGGGGGCTACCCTGAGAACCCCCAAAGCAAACAAGGCACCTGTCTGAGACAAAAGCGGACAGTTTCTGCAAAACGGGGTCCGTTAAAGTGACATCCTCAAGTTTTTGCCGTCTCAACGGTGGTTTCAGGGGGACATATAACCGCAAGGCGACAACTCCGGGCCTGCCGCGGATGCAGGCCAGCGCCACTCTGCACAAGTGCTTGCTGTGTGCCTCGTTTTAATTGTCGGGGATGGTCCCCTAGAAATTTCCAGACGAAGCGCTCGTGGCCTGGATCTCAAAGGCTAGCAAGAACCCATTGGCCTGTGCCCCTTGGCATGGCTAGATCTTCTTTGTGCCTCTTATATGTGCAGGATTGAGAGAGACACATCTGAGGCCTGTTGGCAGTCTTTTTGCTATTTTTTTCACCTGAGAGGCCTTCCGGAAATGTGCTGCCATCCAGGTCTGCCGTGCTTCAAGCGTTCGTCAGAGCTAAAATAAAAGCTCTGCTCCTAAAGAAGGCCCAAGAGTTATAGATGAACGGCGCAGAATCCATCAGCCAGGTACTGCCAAAGGAACCTCCGCAGGTCTCATCAGCGCGGGGTGAGAAAACACAAATGCCGCGGATTTTTTGGACGCAGATTCGCTTGCGTTCCGAAGCTCCCGGGTCGTCTCGTTGACGTCACCTAACAATTCGTTCCCCAGAGAAAAAAAACACATGGCAAGACTACTTTCATAGAAACCCGCAGGAATTTATACAGGAAACTAGCCAAATTCCCACCCAAATCAGGGGTTTCCTGTAGAACTTCCTGTAGTGGGTTTCTTAGATACTTGAGAATCAGCTCCATTTCTCCATGTGTCAAACCGTGCCTTTTGCACAGCCTTTCCATAGATACCTTCGCTGTAGCACGGCCACTCCAAAGTTGCTGAGTTTCCATCCTCCTGGAACGAACAGGACGCCCCCATTTCAGGTTCCGGGGCGCAATGTTGCTCAAATAGTCTGTAAACCTCTAAGGGGGCTATGACTTTAAGTCCGAATCATGTATCTTATATGTCAGGTAAGTTGAATCATCTGTAGATTCAGAAGCTCCCTTCCGTGCACACACTGAGACTGCGGCCTGCATTGCATGGCTGTGACCGCGATCAAGGAAGTCGAAGCAGCGCAGAGTTTGCTTGAACAAGGATCCTCTTGGCTTGCCTGCCTCCTCGAGGTCTGAGTTGATAATTCTAAGCCAAGTGCCGCCAAAAACAGCGCATCTGTCAAACTTCGATTGGCAGCCCGTCATTTGTTTTCCCTGTTCGCGGCAACGCCTCTCCATGTAGGGGCCTCCTGGAAGTTCAGTTGCAGTTTCAACTGCTTGAAGGCCCAACCGGAAGGCGCACGTTGGCTGAAAGATGACGAACTTAAGCGCTGAAATCGGCTCCCTAGATTTTTGGGTTCTACCCATTTTGGTGGTAAAGCTTTATGCGCCTCAGACCTAAAACCAGGAGTGGGAAGGTGTTTGAGCTGCTGGTCCACCTGCTTTGGGCATGTCTGTTTTGAGGGTGCCCTGTTTTTTTTCTTCTTTTTTCTGTTTTTTGGGGCTGTTCTACACGGGCACCAGGAACAACGCTCCCTTTGGCCGCGGCTTTTCAATTATGAGGCCATGTCCGTCCTACCGACGGACGGCTCAGCTGACCGAGCCAAGCTCTCTGCGGTTGGCCGGGCAGCTCGTTTTGTTGGCCGTGGGAGCCCTGCTCAAATAGATAAACTGTCTGGTGAGTGGACATTTCTAGAGTTGGAAGTTTTGGCATAGTTGGTCAATGTAAAAGTTGGTTCATGTAATATGCCGACGTTGCCGGAGAATGCCGTTTTTTTTTCCCCCAGAAAGTGCAATTAAGCATGTTGCACATCCAGGCAACTAGCAACCAAGCAGCCATCACCGTCAGCCGGCACCTCTGTGTTGGTCAATCCTGATCCTTGACAAAGGTGACCCCTTTGCAACCCAAGGGATGGAAGCCATCAGCTCGCGAGTTTGCCTGACTCGAGGCTCACTTGTTTCGTGCTTGTCACCAAATAGCCGGAACAAAGTACGTGAGGGCTTCATGGGAGGGTGGCTTTTTGCAGCGTTACCCCCTGAGCAATGAACGCCCGTCACATATCAATACTCTGGTGCCCCTGGCCAAGAGGAATCCTCACTAAAACAGCCTCAAAACAGCCCCCCCCTTCACCCCCTATTCAGCCAAGGGTCCATCGACCCTCTGTTCCCATTCCGACCAAAAAACTTGAGCCAAGCATTGGATCCCCATACTGTGGATGGACGAAATCCTGCACCACCTAAGAAACCCTGGAATGATGATTCAACAAAGGGGGTATTTGTTAATCTCGATCTCAACATTATTTCGATCGGGCACTCATCGATAAATGCTCGATCTGCAAAGTAGCAGTACAGCTGCAGCAGTAGCAGTAGCAGTAGCAGTAGCAGTAGCAGTAGCAGTAGCAGTAGCAGTAGCAGTAGCATCTGCCAACGCACACTTTTCCGGACGGTCGCTTGGGTAAGACTTGTTAGCCTGTCAGCAAGGTCAGCAGTTCATCGGAGCTCTGGAGGTGCGGTGGGCTGCACCGCTCCTGCGAACCGAGCACGGACGGGTCGGCATGCGACAAGGGCCAGGTGCCCCCTGCCAAGTGGAACCTCAATGGTCACTTGAGGAGGTGGGTCGTCCAGGCACCCTTCCACTGTGCCATGCATACTGGGGGGAAGTGTAACAAAACATCTACATTGCATTTTGGTTGCATGAAGTCATTCGGTCAGGTGTGTGGATAGGACTGGAACCAGGGAAACCTTCGAGGGCAGCAATCCACTGCTGCAGCGCCTCTGTGTCGAGCTTTTGGAACTGCTGGTGGCCTGCCGATAGTCTCAACCTATCCGACTCCGGGATGCGGCCTACATCCTGGCCCCAACGGTGTACAAGACATGCTTTTCTAGGTTGAAGCGTCCAGTGCTTCCACATCTCGACGGGCCCTTTGCATGGGTTTCGGAAAGGAATGCGATCAACCCGGAAAAGCTTGGTTGGGAGTTGAGAGCACTCAAGGCCGAGCAAGCCAGTCGTCTTAAAACTGTTGCGAGGGCTTTGCCGTGCTGCGGCGGCTCCGCCCGATTAGAAGGCACAAAAGCAATGGAAGCAATCTGGACCTTTAGTCCACCACTCAAGAAAAGAACCCCCCCACAGCCTTCATCATGGGCGAGCTGGTTTTGATAGGAAGAGAAAGCGCCCTAACATTAATTGCCACAAGCTGCTCAACAGGGATGAGCCGCCCTAAGTAAAACTCCCGCTTGTCTAAGCAATCCTTCTGTTGGTTTCCCTTTGGCATGGACAAGGGGATTCCGCCCAACCAAAGCTTCCGGACAATACCGTTTCGCCTGCCTGTGTCGAATGCGCAAAGCCTGGCCATGTACAGCACCTGCGCATGGCAAAGAAAAGCGGAAAACGCGCCCCTTGCAGCGCACAGAATGAGGAGCACCATCTGGGAAGGTCAAACAGGCTCCTACCCTCTACCCAATCATGAAAGAGGCCAGAAGGGTTAAACTCGACCATCCACTGAAAAAGGCACTTTGTCCGCCTTCCTGATAGTTGGAAAAAGGGTAACCGAGGATGAAGCTAATTCATGTTACAATGCCAGGCAGGTACCCTTCCGCATAGCGGCCCAGAGGCGGTCGAAAAAGCAACCGGCCTCTTGCGGGCCCAGCTCGCCTCGAAGCAGGACACTACAACGGGGTTCCCTGTTTGTACGTGTCGATATCGCGTCTATAAAAAGTGAAATCCCTTTGAATTGTTCAACATCACCATGTGGGGAGCCCTGATCTCCCATCGGAATTACAAGCCATACGAGTGAGTGAACGCCACAAAAGGGTCATAACCCAACCTCTGTGTGAAAAAACAGACCCGAAATCACACCATCATCCCGTGTCGAGCAACCAACAGATCAAGCAAAGGCAGGGCTTCTTCGCCTTCAGAAGCACAGGCCTGATCTGCCGTGAATTCTGCGTCAGTTCCCCATGTTTCCCATTTGCATTTCAACAATTATGCGCAACAAAAAAACATGCAGCTGCTGAGCATGTATTGTAGCCACCAAAGTATGGACATGTGAAGACCTTCCTTGCTTAGGCAGATCCCCTAGCTTGAAGGGCAGCTTGAAGCGGCAAAGGCATTCCCAGCCACGCTTTGAGCAACTCAGCTTTTCAAGTGTCATCACAGTTCCCACTCAAATCCGCCGACGCCAGTCGAGCGTGTAGATGGCAGTCCGCAACTTGGTCTTCCTTCGGAATCTCTTATCAAAGCAGAAGGCGTTTGAGACTCCTAGTTTTTTGGGCATGCTGTGCTAGGTGTCCAAAACCCTGTATTTTCCTGCCTCCCCTGATGATGGTTGTCTTGTTGCCATGAGTTTGTCTCTTTTCTTGTAGATACTAGTGGTGTGTTGCTGTCTCAAGCGATGTTGGGATTGGCCAGTTAGGGGTTTGGGAGCAGATACTGCGAAACAACCCCTGCATTATCGTGCTTTTGGAAGTCTTTTTTTAGGGTATTTGAGGGGGGTTGCTAGTATCAGTTTTTGATGGTTGATTTGGGAAATATTGAAAAGCCCTGTTTTTATGCATCTTTTTTTGTGGATATTTTTGTGGCTAGCCGTCAACGTTGCGTGTCTGAAAGTCTTAAAATCTTGAACGCGAAGATTGGGTCTGTTCCTGTAAGTTGTGTGGCTGCATCCCTTGCGTTCCAGCATCCTCAGCATCTGGGGCATAAGAAACAGGAAAGTGCCAAGAAGGCCTTATTGTGGCACGTTCATTTATTGTGGTTCTTGGGGTATCCTGGAACATGTTTTACGGCTGCTTCAAGACCCAGACATCCGGCACTGTCGCTCCCCACCCCCCCTCCGTTTGAGCTGCACTTTACGCTTGAGGCTCCAAACAAAGTCTGGACCTACAAAAAAATTGGGGCCCTGCTTTTATACCCTTTCGGGGGGTGGTTTAAAGAGTAGACCGTGTTCTTCTCCTTTCACGTGTTCAGCCCTGCGGCCGAAGTCAGAGCGGGGTTGTTTGCATTCTTGTTAAGAGCCCCATGTTTTTCCTCACCCCGAATTCGAGGCACCCTCTCCTTCCACGTGTTAAAAGCCCCATGTGACCTACGTCTTTTTCCTTACCCCAAATTCAAGGCACCT